CATACTGCGGGTTAGGGCTTCAACATATGCATGTTTGGGGGACACAATTCAGTCCAAGACATACTCTTCCCTGCACCTGCTATGTAACAACAACTCTAGCTTCTCATGTGATCAGGGCCCTGCCTTTATGACCTCATTGAACCTTAATTACTTCCTAAAGACCTTATCTCCATATACAGCCATACTGGGGGTTAGGGCTTCGACATATGCATTTTGGGGGACACAGTTCAGTCCAAGACATACTCTTCCCTGCACCTGCTGTGTAACAGCACCCGTAGCTCCTCATGTGATCAAGGACAATCATCTGTCAGTATACCAACTTTTTCACTGCTGGTCCATCAGCACGAGGAGCCCAGGGTTGTAATCACAGCTTCCAGTTTAGTGGAACTCTTGCCAAGTTCATTAGTGGTGGTTTCACCTTCTGGGAGCCAGGATCTGTAACCCTTCAGAGTCTAAGTTTGCAGGAACAATAAGCACAGATTCTACAGGTTTCTCACCAGGAGCTGGACTTAGAAGGGCCAATCCTACTTCCACTCCTTGTGTGTTCTAGCTCTTGGAGACACAGCTATCGACTCACACTGCATCGAGGAGAACAATGCTCCAATCCCACAAGTTGTTGCCTTTAAGCTGATGTCACAGATGAGCATTCAACAGACCACCCCATCATTCGGGAAAGCACTAGGATGGCCAGAGACAGAGGCTGGGTCACCCTGTACAGCTGACTGTCAAGAGCCTCCTTGGTGATGGATGCTCCCTGGGGAGCACGAATAGGAGGCAGAAAGAGCCCTACCCTTTGTGCCAACTCCCACGAGCTCACTCAATGTCTCCCTGACCTCCACGCCCTGGATTTTCAGTTCTGTTCTTTCCATGTCCCTAAACGATTAGCCCAGCCATTTACCCCTGCACAGGAGTCTGCACCTTGGGCCACCTCTCCTCCTACCCTTGAATGGTGATATAATGCAGCAGTAGTCTATCCCCAATTGGCACCAATACATTATGTCAACGTGTATGTAAATGAGGCCCTGGTCCTTTCCTCCTCCATCGGTTTGTCACACGGAACTCCCATGTGAGGCTAAAGGTAGAAGTTGACAAAGAGCTTCAACAGGGGTGGGTGACCTGAGAATCTGGACCAGCTATTCAGGTAATTTACCTGTTCCTTCTGGCCCTAAACATAACACTTCCACTGCACGTTAGAGTGCTGCTGTTCATGACCAACCTGATGCCTCAGTGATATTGCATAGTTCTTCAAGAAACCCAGCCTTCCCTTCAATCAATGAGCTCTGGGATATGAACAAACTTAGGTAACTTTCCATTCCAGTAGATGCCAACTTTCTGCTCTAATGCTCTTAGTTTTTTAAACATTTATACAAATAAAACAACACCCTTGTCAACCCTCCACCTGTCTCACCCCTAGGTACATCATGATCTGATGGCCATTGACATGGGTTCATATGTATCAATGCACCCCGACTGCCCCTCCTGCCTTGCTGCCCATGATGACAATTATGGTAATCATCTCTATGCCTTAGTGGTCTAGCTGGCCTTTGCCATTACATTGGCTTCCATTAGTATAAGGGAGCCAGTTTCCCCATCTCTCACCATTGAACTCTGCCTTCAGAAGACAGCTGCCGCTGAACTACTCAAAGATGCTGATGCCCCTCACCAGGACTTTTCTTTCTGTCCTAGTGAAGGGAATGTTCTCTGGACCATCCCGGGGAACATAGTCAAGTGGTGGGTTCTCAGGTGTTGTGATTCTGATAGTCACACCTCTCTGAACCTTCTGGTCCTCTTCTCCTTATTATGCCAAAAAAGTTCTGGAAGCTCACTTTATTTATTACAGGCTATTGTTATGAAAACAGGTGCTAGATTGCAAGGTACCTGCTTCAATGAGGCCATTGTGGTCCCCCAGGCCACGAGGAGCTGTCCCATTCTAATAAGGGAAAGAGAGTTGCTTCTACCTGCCAGAGTATTTATGGAGATTTGGGGGTCCAAAATTTTCAGGCTTGTCCACACAGATGTGTCTATTCTAGATCACAAGGTCCAACTCTTTCCCTATCGGACTTGGACATAAGAGACCTATGTGGCTGCACATTTAGTCTCCTTTTCAGCTCTGCCACACTTACAATCAGATCCTGAGCTTCATTTTTGGAGCAATCTGTTTTGTGGATGTTAAGAGTGCCTTAAAAGTTTTCACAAAACATGCATTATGTTCACAGATAGCTTTCCCGAGGCTATCATTTTCCTTTTGCAAGATCTCCAATACTGCTAGAAAAAGCTACCTAAGCCCAGTGCAGCAGCCACATGCTCTTGCTTTCTGCCTTGCTTTCTGCCTGTACCTCATTCCAATTAGGCACAGGTGAAGCTTTAGACATTGTAATGACATTGGATGACAGGTATGGCCCCTATTGCTTACATGTAGATGGGAAATCCAACTCCAACATCCCATCCTGAAGGAAGATCTACTTTTTAGAGCCACCGTGGAACCAACTGTCCCCGTTCCTCAGGAGACAGAGCATGAAGTGATGCTTGCTTGCAAACACCTTTATTGAGGGATACAATCCGAGAGCGACAAAAATAAGAGGAGAGGAGAAGTGAATCAGGGAAGGAGAGAAGCAAACACAAGATTGTGCGTCACTGAGCTGACCACATCTTCAGAAGAAAACATTGCCAGTTGCTCAGTCACGCCTACTGGACGTCGCCTGACAGGCCAAATGGAACCGCTACAATCCGTATGCTGGGTCCCTTCCATCTCTTGTCTTTCATTGGTCAAAATTCACCCCACGCTGTAACTCCCATGCATTTCTGAGTGGAGGTACCTGGCTCCTGTAGGCAGATCCCACATGCTGTGTGTGGGTTGCCGTCTGAGTCCAGAAAGGGTGAGAGGGGCCGGGACCTCCCCAGGTCTCCCACGGCATAAGAGGCCTATGACAAAGCGTGGTGTTCACCCTAAGGGAGGCTGTCATATTCCATGGTGTTGGGAGGGCCAGGAGGCTGTGGGGCCAGGCGACCCTCAAGGGGTATATGGATTAGGACTAGTACAGAAACACTGAAGACCAGAGTGGATAGCGCAGGATATTCAATGTACAAACCGTGCCCAGGTTCTCTCTGGAACCGCTGGTGGAGGGGTTAGTACTTCTGAGTCCCAAGTGGCAGCTGTGATTCTGGCTAAGTCACAGATGTCTCCAAAGTTTTCAAACAAGACAATTAATTTGCCTCACAGAGTTGTGAGAATTGATTTAAAATGTGATGGAAAGAACATTTTTGAGTAGCAACTGAGCTGCAGGTATAAACATGAGGGCCTGTTAAATCTGAAGATTGGAATCGTGTACTGAGCAAAATACAAAGGCATTAAAATGTCCAGTGTTATTAATATTTTGACCTCAGCTGACCAACAGTGGCTCAGTTTTGTGCTTCATTCCCTTTCTTCACACTGTTGATGAGTCACTTAGGAAGTCCTCCCCCCAGCACTTCCTTCCTACCTCCCCTCCCCCAGACAGTGAGGCATCCAGGTTGGTTTGCTCTTCTATGCTGGTAGAGAATGTGAGGTGCTCATAGGTGCTAGGGAAATGAATGATTGAACAAAATATCTCCATATCTTTGCCCAAGGGGTTACCAATGCTTGACATGTTCCCCCACTTCTGGCAGGGGAAGCTTTGCTCCTCCTTCCCTCCATTCCTCAGTCTCCCCCCCTTTCACACTGAGACTGGGGGTGCAATGCCAGTGACAGTGCAATGGCCTGTTCTATCCGTCTCCCCGACAGCCCCCAGGTTCGCGTTTGCTCCTGCTGGTTGAGGCGCGGGTCTGCGGCGTCTCTGTGGAGATGGGCCTCCTCTGGGCCGCGGCTAGGACGTCGGTCTGAAAGCCGGTTTGCAGAGCAGACAGTTTAGAGTGTGTTTACTTGGCGTGACTCAAGGGCGCCTATGTACTGGGAAAGGAAACTCTGTATGGTGTCTTCTATGCACACGCTGTGGTGTCTGACCCTCCACTCCGTGTTTTAAGCCCCTGGGTCTGTCGCCCAATCTAAAAATGGTCCTTGGGGGCCTTCTGGAAAGCCCAGGAATCGGTCAAAGCGCTGGCAAGGTGCGCCAGCCCGGTGAGCAGAGCGGCAGCGCCATGGCAGGGATGCTGCCGGCGAGCCTAGAAGTTTGTTCGAAAGAGACCTAACCGGGCCACTTCCCGGAGAACTGACTTGTTGATAATCTTGCCCCAGAGAGAGGAGCTTGCAGCTGGTAGAGGAAAAGCAGTGGGAGAAAGGCTCCCCCAGGGCCGCCGCGCCTCCTCCCCGGACGCTACGGTGCTGGAGGGGAGGTGGGCTGCCAGGGCTGCGACACGGAGGACAAGGCCAGGAGGGCGGCCTGCACCTTGCAGCCCCGGCACCCGCGGGAGCCTGCGGGACGTGGAGCGGGGACAGTCCGCAAGGATGGAGCGCAAAAAGGGGTCTCCACGCGTCAGTACTCACCACCCTCCCGCAGCCTCGGCTGAGACTTGGGGGAAGGGCAGGCAAGGGGCAGGCCCCCGCTGGAACCGGGAATCCTCGGCCTCCAGGGTGAATAAATAAATTATTAAGCGCCCAATACACAATAGCCTCGCTAGATGGAGACGAGGAATCACTGCAGCTGCGCTGGCGGCGGCGGCGGGGAGCGCGGGCGGGAGTGCAGCCCCGGGCGGGAGGCGGGCGAGGCTCTGGCTCCGCTCACGTCTGTTTTCCTTTTTCGTGCATTATTTATTTCGCCTCCGCCCGCAGCTCTGCTACCCGAGCGGGCGCTCCGGGCCGGCGCCTTCCGCCGCTGCCTCTCGCGGGCCGGTGCGAGGGGCGCGGAGAGCTCGGGCACCCCCGCGCCCCGGGCAGCCGCGCGGCGCCACCAGCAAGGGCGGGGAGCAGCCGCGGGCCGGGGGAGGGCTCGCTCGGCCGGCTCGGAGGAGACTTTCCCCGCCCTCCGCCTCCGCCTCGCCAGCCCTGGGCCCCGGGTGCCGCCCCTCCCGCCCCGCGCGCGGCCAGGCGCTGCCCGGAGCCACCGCACCCTGCGCCCCGTGCGAGGGCGTCGCTCGCGGTCCCCGGCTCAGCCGCCCGGGAGGCCCAACCGGCGCGCAAACTTTTGCTCCAGTGCCCGGCGCTCCGCCCGGGCAAGTGAAGCACTCGGGCGCCTGCACAGCCCCCAGGGTGAGGACCGAGGCCCCGCCTAGAGGGCGGGGGACAGGGGAGGCGGCTGGCTTTAAATGGGGGCCGTCCGGCAGCTAGTAAACAGAGCTGCCGCGGAGGGAACGCGGGTCTGTCTTCCCCTTGCCGGGGATCGGCTGGGGCCGCCGCTAGGCAAGGTGGCGTGAGGCGTTGGAGGGGTACGGGCAGAGGTGGAGGCGTGGGGGAAACCCACGCCTGGGAGCCAGAGATCGGGGCTGCGGGGTGCAAATGGGGGTGCGCACCGAGGTGCATATGTTGCAGTGTGCGCAGTGAGGCTGGTAGGGCAGAGAGGGTGCACGCCGCGTGTGGTTTCTGGGTGCTGTGCATGCAGGGTCAGCGGGTGTGCGGGCTCCAGTCGGTGGGTGTGCACGACTGTTTCTGTGGGTGTGCGCTCAGGGTGAGTGGTGCCCGCCGGGTTTGAAGTGTGCTCACAGCGAGAGTGAGTTGTGCGTGACTGCTTCTGGGAAGTGCACGGGGCTCAGTAAGTGTGCTTGGCTGTTTCTGGAAGTGTGCATGGGGCCAAGGTGTGCACGCAGTGTTCTGGGGGTGTGCGCGAAACTAAGGGGTATACTGCCAGGATGTCCTGTGCACCAGGATAGGGTGTGAGGTCTAGGATGCACGAGAGGTCAGTGCGTGTGCGAGCTGGAGTGAGGTGCGGGCTTGGTTGAGGAGGGTGCGCAGAATGCGGGGCGAGCCCGCCCGACCTGGGTGGGCCGGTACGTGTGCTGGTGAGCGCCGCGATGCTGCCCGCGGTGAGCTGAGCCTTGCTCTCCTGACAGTTCGCCCAGGAGCGGGCGCCGCGGGCCGAGATGCTCCTCCGGGACCTGGTGCTGCGCCGCGGCTGCTGCTGGCCCTCGCTGCTGCTGCACTGCGCTCTCCACCCGCTCTGGGGCTTCGTGCAGGTGAGGCGCGCCGGCCGCCGCTGTCTGCGGTGGGTGGGGGCTCTCGGTGAGGAGGGAGCTGTCACTTTGTTCCGGAGACCCTCCCTTCCTGCAGCCTTCCCACTCGTTGGTCCTCAGGAGAGTTTAGGAAAATAAAGGCTGTGAGGGTCCCTGGTGCTCTGGCCCTGAAAAGATAAGGAACTCCAGAGCGAGGCTGCTGTTGTGGCCTAAGGCTGCAGATGGGCCCGGGAATTGAAAGGGGCTCAGGGGCTACCCTCCGATGATAGCATTCTATCGCAGAAATTCAGGAAAAGAAACAAACTTAAAAAGAAAAACAATCCCAAGAATATACATTCTTTATTTCCCACCAGAGCTGATGGTGAACTTCAAATTAGCTTTCTTAAACTGATCTTCAGCACGGGAGGGGGTCGTATTTCTGGAAGGGTAGCAGAGTTGGGGACGTGCACAGATTGGGGACATGCACAGATTATGCACGGTGGCCACTCTTGGGAATGTAAGAAGGAACTGTCCTCTGTCAGGACTGCCTGAATCCCTCACCCTGGGCCCCCTAGGCCCCAGGGCAGAGGCCGGGCAGTTAGTTTCCTCCTGGTGACAGAGAGAGGGTCAGATGGGACAGTCCCTAGCTAGCACCTCCCAGATGTACACGGCCCGTGGTACAGTGGAGAGTGAAGAGGTGGACTTTGGTGTCAGCTCTGAATTTTGAACCTCAGCTCTCTGCCCCTCACCAGCTGGGGGACTTGGGGCAATATACTTAACCTCTCTGAACATCGTTTTCTTCTTCCTGACCGTGCTATTGTAAGTGCTTGATGAGATAAATGGAAGTAAAGATTACTTAGTACCGTGCCTGGACCGTAACGAATGCTAAACAGGAGCTGTCACTGCTAGTTTTGATACGAGTAATAGTAATGCCGCTCTTCTGTCTAGCTTGCCAGTTATTCTGTTGATCACTATGCAGGCTGTTTGACATTTTTGAATGCTCCAGAGGACATTTTTACTGTTTGGGGCTTTGAAGAACTCCTCCTGGGGTATTTGCAGCTTCATGTTCTCCTGGTGGCACTTTGGGGATTGGGGACTAGTCAGATGGCTGCCCTGAGCAGGGGTGACAGACCAAGGAAGGGATGGGGCAAGACTGCCCACCCAGTCCGCCCCAAGTGATGGGCCCTGCTGGGGAGCAGCTCAGTCAGTCCTGCTTGGGTGGTGGCCTAGGTGGCCACCCATGAAGGGACAAAGGCTCTGCTGCTGGCCAGCACCCCCCACTCCCGAGCGCCAGACCCCCTCTTCTGCTCTCGTCTCTGGCTTGCCTCTGTCTCACTCACGATTGTTTTCCCTTCGGAATTGACAGCTTTGTTTAATGTGTGAAACAGCAGTTATTAAACTCAGCTGTGCCTCCTCAGGAACCAGGATTTTGTCACTTCTAAACACTTCGGTGGTTTGGGACCAGCTTCCCTTGCTCAACTTTGAGCTGAACCTCAGATATTAAGTTCACTTAGTTTTCATATTCATTTGTTTACAATTTTTCTCTCTTCCATAAGAGTCTTCAGCTAGGATGGAGAGCAACATGACGAGACAAGACTAGAATTCTGCTGTGTGAACTAGCAGGGTCTAAGCAGAAGACCCGCCACCACCCCACACTCTGCTGCAAAAGCAGCTTCCGTTTTTTAACAGTGTCCTTCGGCCAGGCAGTACACACAATTGTGTGTGTGTGTGTGTGTGTGTGTGTTTCAGATGCTCTTACTCAATACAAATCAATTTTCATGAAAATCAATTAGAAAAGGAATCCTCCAGACAAGTAGAATGAGTAAAATCTTGGCTTGAGGCTCTGGAAAAATTAATTTACGAATGATAGGGACAGAGAAACCAAAGGAAAAGGGTGTTGGAATGCATGCATCTGGCTTTTAAGCAAAAGAGCTGAATGCAAGGGAACGCAGGCGAGAAGAGGAAAAATGGAAGTGCATGAAGCCATGAGTTTGTCTTTAAGTGGAGAGAATAGAATCTGTCATGTCACTGGAGTTTCTGGAATATAGAGAAAGAACTCAGAGTTATTTGTCCTTTCATGAGCATTTTGCCAGAAGAATCCCCCAGAGTGATTGATAACCATTTGGAAAGAAGGGGCAAACATCACAAAATCATATGATTAATGGGTCATTAATGAGGGAGGAGATCTGGGGTCCCCCAAAGCACCAGATTCCTACCTTGAAATCGGCCCTAAGCCTCTGGCTGCTTCTAGATGATAAGAAACTTAATCGTTACAGTCATACGACATTTGAATTGCTGGAAGGGTCGGTCGGAGCATTCCTTAACCTCTCCTCCTTTTGCTTTAATGTGTCTGGAATTGAGATTTTGAGCTTTAGTGTGATTTAGGGTTCTTCTAAGTTCACTCCAGATGATTCCTTTTTTTTTTTTTTTTGCAAGGGAAGAGGATGACAGGCTGGCAAATTTATTAGGTGTGACAGGAGTGTGTCTCATCAAGTTACTGTGGTGCTGGCCTGTCTCCATAAAAGATACCAGAAGGCATCATCTCTGTGGTCGCCCTCCTAAAGCAACCGCCAGGGAGACAGGCTCTCGTCCGGCCTACGTGGTCTCTGCGTTAATGAGGAGCTACGCCAGACCCCAGTGATGCTGAACCCCTTCCATGGCCAGTTGCTGCAGCTTGGATTATTTAGTTAGCAGCATTTATTAGGCACTTACTGTATCCCAGGCCCTGTGTTAAGTGCGAGGGGCTTCATGGTCCCTGCCTTCTTGGCATCGATAGTCTGGCACTATAGAGCCACTTGAACAATTACAGGCAAGGGAACTCAGTAGGAGCAAATAGCTTGGACGTGCTGCAAGCATCAGAGAAGTGCTTCAGCTGAGGCGTGAAGGATGAGGACTCAGGATGCAAATGAGGGCAAGGTGTCCAGGAAGAGGGAACAACCTGAGCTGGAGGACAGAACGGGACATTGGAAGAACCAGGGGAGGGAAGCCCCAGGTAAGGCCACTGTTGCAAGCCGCTAACATCATGCCTTGCAGTTTGGACTTGATCCCTAGGGCTACTGACACCACTGAGAGTTTTAAGTAAGAGGTGACACCATCTCAGAATGGCATTTTAGAAATCTCAGTCCAGCTCCAGCACGAAGGATGGATTCAAGGAGGGGACAAGGGAAGGAGTAAAGAGTTTGGTGAGGGTAGGGTTGCCACAGGTAGCAAATAAAAATATAGGACATCCAGTTAAAATTGAATTTCAGATAAACCACAAATGTTTTTTAGCATAAGTGTATCCCACACAATATTGGGGATATCCTTATGCTAAAAAATTGTTTGCTGTTTACCTGAAATTCAAATTTAACAGGGCATCCTACATTTTATCTGGCACCCCTAGGGCAGGGCAAGTGCTGCCCAGCAGAGACATGATGGTGGACAGAAGGGGATGGATTCAAGGACTATTAGGAGGCAACACCCACCAGACCCAAACGCTGCACCGACTGGCCAGGTGTGGGACAGGGGTGGGAGAAGCGGGTGCTGATGCTGAGACCCACCAGCCATGGAGCACTGTGTCCCCAAAACCCCAGCAACAGGTCCCCAATCCAGGTGACTACAGGACCTACCTACCTGTGCCTCAGCCACTCTCCCAGACGGCAGCATTGGCAGCATTCCAGCCCCAGGAGAACGCTCAGAACAGGGGCGGGAAGGCGGTTGCTTGTGAAATTGAATAAGAAGTGGTCCCCGATACAGCTTTTGCCTGTGGGCCTTAGGAAAGCCATCGACCTCTCTGGGCCTTTCTTAGTCAAGTTCAGCTAAGAGCAGGTGACATCAGGGGCAAGCTCATTTTCCTCGTGGAACTCCCCGAGACAGAAACCAACAAGCCAGGTGCTGAGACAGGTTTTCGACACTTGAGGTTTCCTCTGTATCGGTCCAAAATACAACACTGCCCGACAACAGAACCCCAGAGCGGAACCGGAGTTGGGGAACGGGATAGATCCTGTGTTTCCCCACTGATGGGCAGACCAGCCGCCAACACAACGGCTCACTGAGCACCGACTGAATGCCGGGTCCTGTGCGGCTTTGGTGCGTTAACTTAGCTTTGCTGAACCTGCTGTCCCTCCTGTTAAGTGTGGATAATAACACCGACCTCTCTCGGTTGTTCTCATGGTGAAATGAGAGCATGTCCCCATGGCTGACGTATAGCAGGGCTCAGAAGGTCACTCTTGTTCCGGATTAATAAAGCACAGACTCACCTACCTGTCTGGCCCAAGATGCTCACGGCTGAGCGTGGAGAGACAGGCTTTGCAAAACAGTGGGGGAGTGCCCCCAATGGAAGTGTGTGCAAGGTGAAACAGCAGCACCGGCTGGTGGGTGTAACTCCAGCGGGGAGGGGAGCGTGGCTTTTAGGATGGCTTTGCCCGGGAAGGCTGTTGGGGAGACGGGCTTGAAGGAGGAAGAGAAATTGGCGAGTGGATAAAGGGTCCAAATAACCAACTGTCAGTCAAGGGAGGCTCAGCTGCCCCCGGCTTGCGTGGGACCAGACAATCAGGAGAGTCCAGCGGGGACCCCAAGGGGCGCCCGCCCCTCGGGAAGAAGGACAGCCAGACCAGACTTGGTCCTTTCCGGAGAATAGCTGCTTCAGCAGTCGTGCTGCGCACATGGCAGCGGGCCTTTATGCGGGAGACCGGGAGCCGCAGACTTTGAGAACGCAGCGTGCTCCTTCCCTCCCTCCTCGGCCTCGGAACCTGGCCCCGATTTTGCTGCCTGTCGCCTCATCACATTGAACACTCTCACACAGCTGCGCCTTCGCATCCTCGCAGGAAAATGGGTCATTGTGTCAGGCTGGGTTAAACAAACGTGCTCCTCTTGAACTCTCTGTCGCGCAAATTGCACCTTGGAGAGCAGGAAAGTAATTGCTCCGGCAACGACATTGCTTGAAGCTCACTCACTTGGTGGAGTGCAGAGGAGACGCGGGCTCAGGCTGCTGTGGAAGTGGAGCTTTCCAGCACCCCAGGGTCTCAGGAGGTTGCGGTCCAGAATTAGGGGTGGGGGGAGGCTCGATGATGGGAGGTCTGACAGCTGCTTGGGTGAAGAGGCTGGTGGATTTACCACCGACACCTTAAGTGGTCCATCATCTCCGTAAAATAATTGAGAAAATGCTCCCCATCAGAGCACGTGCTCTTCCCAGTGAGAGACAAAATTGCCTTCCAGGGTTTGGCACACAGTCTTTGGTCCTTCAAAAACACTAAAAGGTGGGAAGCAGGAGCCTCTTGGCCTGGCAGATATTAAGTTAGGCCTGTAAATCTGTCCCCTCCCTGCCGCCGCGCGGGTGGACGTTACCCACATTCCTTCTTCCCGTCTGCGGAGGGCGAAGGCAGCGCCCCAGCCCTGGGTGCTGTCTCTGCCCTGCAGCAACGGGGCTGGATGGGCCTCCAAGGCAGGCCGCGCGTGGCTGGGTGCGGGGAGATTGGGGTTCTGGGCTTCTACTCAGAGATGACAGAGAAATTAACCGTGGCCCTTGTTGAGGTGGGGGGTGACCAGCAACTCTTTTCTTCTTAAATCAGCTTGTTCCCTGGGCCAGGCACAAAACACTAGACTCATGGATTTATGGCACTCTGCGTAGGGAGGGACACTGGCAGCTGGCTTAATCCACCCAGCAGTTCTCATGCTGGCTCGACATAAGAATTTTAACCTGGAAAGCTTAAGCAAAATACCCAGGCCCAGCTCCACCTGCAAAATCCTGATTTGATCGTTGTGGGTGAGGCCCAGGCCCAAGTGTTTTTAAAGCTGCCTGGGGGAGGCCTGAGTGCAGCCGGAGCGGGAACTGCTTAGGGAGCACGGCTCAGTCCTCCCACTCTTCCCTGGTGACAGACGGGGAACCTGAGACTGCACTGGAAGGACACCAGGCCAGGCCTCAACAGGTGGATCTGGGCCAGTTTCTAATATTCACTCCTTCGCCAAGTAGTTATCAAACACTAGGCCCTCCCTTGGGTGCTGGTTTATGATAGGTGAGAGGGAGAGATGATAAAGGCCTGCCCTGCCCTCTTAGAGCTCACGGTGCCACCGCGAAGACAGGTATGAACCAGGTAATCGCCCTAATGTAGATTTCTGCCCCCAAAGAGTAGAACCCGGCTCCAGGAGAGCCTATAAAAAGGGACCCGGCCTGGTTAAGGAGGTCAGAGGCGCTTGCTGGAGGTGACAGCCAAGCCGAGTAATGGGCACGGCAGGAGTAGGGCTGGGAGGACATTCCAGCCACTGGAGCAGCTGGCCAGGGTCCAGGAACAGAAAGGCGGGCATGAGAGCAGAGAGAGGGCAAGAGCAATGGGCAAGAGCGGGCCATGGGGTTGGGATGGGATGGTTTGGTGGGGTGTCTGGCCCACAAGACCACTTGGAGGCTGCATGGAGGGAACCAGGCAGGTTGCTCTGCCCCCTTTGGTCACACAGGACACGAGAGCACCACCCTTGCTGAGAAGGTTCCTCCCCAAGACAGGGGGCTTTGCCCCAGAGTGGCCATGGCTGGAGAGAAGTCCAAGATGGGGCCAAAGCAAGGGAGACGGGAGAGGCAGCTGGGCTTAGGTTACCTGTCACTGTCCAGGTGTGAGACCCCTGGGCAGCCCCTTCTGCCTGAGCCTCAGTTTCCCCATTTGTACAATGGGGAGTTTCTATGAGTTAACCTTCAGGTTCATATCTCCCTCACATCAACATCCAGGTCACTTGCCCAGAGTCCCCCAGCTTGGTCTCCAGACCCACCAGGCCAGCCTCCTGCACAGCATCCCCTGTGCACCGCCGACTTCTGTCTGTGCTTCCTGCTCGGTCTCAGGGAAGACTCCTGAGCTCCAGCCTGGCAAGGGGCGGGGCGGCCTGGGCCACTCCGCCTTCCGTCACCTCATTGTCTTGTACCTCTCTTGGGTGTGTGTGCCCATGTCCGCAGGTGACACACGGGGAGCCCCAGAAGTCCTGCTCCAAGGTGACCGACAGCTGCCGACACGTCTGCCAGTGCCGGCCCCCGCCCCCGCTGCCCCCGCCGCCCCCGCCCCCGCCGCCTCCCAGGCTGCTCTCCGCCCCAGGTAGGTGACGGCTCACTCCATTTTTGGGTTCTTCTCTGTGTTTCCCTGGGCCCATGAAGAGCGGGTGAGCGTGGCCGAGGGCGGCTCTGCCTCCTTTGTAATTTTCCACTGGCCGAGCAGGAGGGAAGCCAAGGCCCAACTTTCCCCTGCAGTCTGCAAAACGCCTTTCCCACAGAATGCTCCTGCGAGAGGGAGAAGGATGTTTCTCCATCAGTTAATCAGATAAAAGTCAATCTCCATTTGATGAGAGGCTCGGCCTGCATTGTTCTGAAGGCCAGATCTTTAAAGGGCGCAGCTGCTGGAGGACTGGCCCTAAATCCCCCGCCTCCCCCATATGGTGTTCATTTTTTCATTTTAATTCACATTTAAGGAGCCAATTAGGAGAGAACCAAAGTCAAGGCTCTGAGAGCAAAGTTACATGGATGCCTTTTAGACATTTGCACCAAATTCTGCTAAATCCTCGCTTTGACTTGTTTGCCTTGGACGATTTCATCTCTGAACAATTTGACTGCCTGGTCATTCAAACAAAGGAGCGTTTCTTCAGCCAGAAATGGCCTCGGCCCCGACTTCTGCGTGGTAAAGTTCCCTGCTTACAATGGCTGGTTGATAAGGTCTCTAAAAAGGAGATTCTAGATGGATCTAGATGGATTCTAGAAGGACATTTTAGATGGATCCTTCTCAAGTTTTGGCCTGCAGAATGCCTGTGATTCTGTCTGGATCTACCTCATTAAGCACATCTCCACTGAATTATTTGGGACGTGTATTAAATAACCTTGATGCAAGGCTTGTTCTCTGGAAGGCTCCGTTTCCAGCCTCTGGGTATCCAGTCGGTGCCAATGCAATGTTCCAGGGAGGGAGGAACCTTTGCAGTTTATGTGAATTTCTGCATTTTGTCTGCAAGGCCCCTACCTGTCTCCACCCTTACCTGACACCCTGTGGCTCGGCACTTCTCAAAGTGTGGCCCTCAAAGTACCTGCTTCAGCATCACCTGAAGCATTGGTTTTAAGGTGCACCTTCACGGGCCCACTTCTAACTCCCTGAGCCAGATTCTTTGGGGCAGGGCTTAGGAGTCGTCACAATAACAAGTTCTCAGGTGATTCGGATGCAAGTGAGAGTGGAGAGCCTAGGCTGGCCGGGCCCCTCTTCCTGGTCTTAGCAAGATGCTTCTATCCTGAGATGCTTTGGCCTCCTTGCCCCTGGGTCTGTGCTGTGGGGCCTGGTCTCAGGTACCTGCCCCTAGAAGTTACTCCTATCCCTTTGCCCTCCCACTCTCTGGGCTCTGGGCTGTGCTTTCTCCAGGTGTGTTTGTATCTAAAGGATCCACGTCCCCCAGCTTGGGTCCCTCCAGTTCATCTCATGCTCACTGAGCACCTGTGTCACACAGAGGTGAAGGACCATTCTGGTCTTCTGGAATCTCTCAACCTCACAGGAAAGGCCAGTCTGTCGGCAACCCACAAAGAGTGGCCCAAGAGAACACAGATGTGGTTTGCCAGGTATGCTGGGAATTCCTGAGTAGTCAGGCAAAAACGACAGCTCCAGTCCATAGTAACGTTGATCTGGGTCTTTAAGAATAAATTCAAGTGTTGATATGGAGGTTGTAGGGGAAAGGCATCCAGGCGAAAGGAGCACCGTGGACAGAGGCTTGGAGGCAGGACTCTGGGAGACTCTGTGAAACTCATCGTGGGTGTCACAAGGTCTTCAGTAGGTTTAAAGTGGTGGCCAAGGCTGGACATGGTGGTGTACACCTGTAGTCCCAGCTACTCGGGAGGCTGAGGCCAGATGATTGATCACTTGAGCCCAGGAGTTCGAGGCTGCAGTGAGCTATGATTGTGCCACTGCACTCCAGCCTGGGCGACAGACCCCGTGTCTAAAAAAAATTAAAATAAAAAGGTGACCGAGAGAGTGGACCTTGAAGGGTGTTGTGTGCCTAGAAAGCAGATCACATTTCATCTTGCAGGGCAGTGTTTGCCAAACAGTGATCTGCGTTCACCATACCCAAGCACCACCTCTTATTTGCCTTATTTTTTTTTCTTTAAATAGACTCACTTTTGTGTTTCTACAAATTAATTTCCAAAGACAGCTTCAACTATTGTAAATGGGAAACCAGTATCACTTGCATAAATAGAAGGTGACCAAAAATATAAATGTAATAAAAACAAATTCTAGCCTGCTCCAGAAGGTTCTGAGCTCAAGGCCTCTGTCTTTCTGTTAGAAGGGGAGAGAAGCAAGTTGTAAGAGGAGTCAAAGCCATAGTGCCGCCATGCTGATACTTTCTTTACAAAGTAATCAGAAGGTCTGTAAGAGAATCAAAAGGGTCTTAAGTTTCCTGTTATGGTTTTCAATGTGATCGGGTGCTGGGTCCATGTACCATCTAAAATCAGCTCACCTGACTGCCGGGACATGGGCTGTACTTTAGGAGACTCGCTATGGACAGTGATGAGCCTGTGATCTTGCACCATCTGCTTCAAAAAGATCAACTTTTTTGACAATGGGGAAGGTGGATTGGGGTTGAGATGTCAGACTGGAGCCCAGTGGGTGGCTCTTGAGATCATTCCAACCTCAGCCCACCCACGACGGCCTAGAGTGAGGCTGGTGACGGTGTGGGTAGAGGGGATGAAGTCTTCACGCTGAGCTTTAGGCCTAAGGGTGCTTCTGGGTGAGAGGAGGTAGGTATGGTTTGATGCTGTGGCAGGGCTTTTTCTGTTACAAATAGCAGAAATGAACCTTGAGGTGGCTTAAGTGTTATTAAAAAAATAGGGAGGGATGTTAGCCTGTTGGCTCCTCTTTCAGGATATCCCAGATCTGCTGGATCCAGAGTCTCAAACGACGATGATATTGGATTATCTGACTGTCTCTCATTCTCTCTCTATCTCTTCCTCTTCTGATTTCTCCTGGGTTGGCTTTTCTCTTAGGTTGGCTCAGTCCCTGGAGCTCCAGGACTCCATCAGTGCTATTGTCAGTAGTCCCCCTACAAAGAGAGCCTATCCTTCCCAAGAATCCAACAAAAGTCCTGGGGCTGACTTTCATTGGTCAATCTTGGGTCACATGTTCAGCCTTGGACCAATCATGATGGCCTACAGGGATAGACTATGCTCATTGGTCAGGCCTGGGCCATGTGACCACCCCAGGAGTTAACATATATGGCCAGAGGTTGAGGAAGTGGTGGTTTCCCAAAGGAAAATCTGGGCAGAGGATCTATAACCCAAAGACGAGGATATGAACACTGGGCAGGGAAGACAGAGGCTACACCCCACAGCCCTGGCTTGCCTTGAGCATGTGGCAGAGACTGTGCACTATCCATCCCTCGGTCCTCCTGGAGCTCAGCCCAGAGCCCTGCACATGGGCAGTGCCCAATAAATGCCAGAGCTACGGCCACGGCCACACCTTCTGCCAGTCATAAAATGCAAATGCCTGTTGTATAATCCTGAAAGAATCAGCTTCTCCCAGAGGGCACAGGGCTTCAGTGCTGTGACACCTCTGTCATCACGCAACAGGTGTGTATGAAGCTGCAGGTATGGGGCACTGTGCCGGGGCCGGGAAGCCAGCAGTGAGCAAGAGGCAGCTCCTGTCCTCATGGAGTCTGTGGCCCAGTGGCCTGTCACTTGCAGAAGGTGTTCACAGGAGTGTCCCCTCCTGGATATGCTGGCTCCAGGCTCATGTCAGCCCTTGCGCCATTTGTTCATGTGATGTGCCTTATATCCCTGCCACTCACAAGACCCCTGCTTCACCTGATTTGCCAAGCACCTGCTCCGTGTCCAGCCCCGTGTTGGGCACACTGAAGGACACAGAGGTGCGTAAGAGGCCAATTCCACAAGCCTAGGTTGGCGTGCAAACCTGCTACTTTCTTTCTGTGATTTTAAGAGGGCCAGTTGACGCCAGCCTCTGCTACCTATTCTGTAGAACAGTTCCTGATGACAGCCAGCCCACGGTGTTGACTTGAGGATCCCATAGAAACTGGACAGGTGTCCCTGGCTGCTAATCAGCCCATGCAAATCCTCCTGGAGGAGAGCAGCCCATGGGCGCTGCTGGGGAGGGGATATTGCAGTCCAAGGGGCCAGCGAGGGAGGATTTGGGCAGGCGTGAGAGTTGCCAGGTAGACCCGGGATGGGCAGGAGCAGAGAGAGGCTGGACAGGCTGGGGGGAGTGGCTGAAACAGGGGCCAGAATGAGGATCCCAGGGGTCAGGCGGGAGACGCCTGCTGCCGTGCTGTTGATCTGCAGGAGTGTGGGCTTTGCTGCATGTGTCTGGCACAGAGGGGGGAGGAGGGGAAAGAGAAGCACCTGTCTGTGCAACTTGTAAAGTCCCCCCTGGAAGTAATGACCAGGAACATTTGTGGGAATTGTTGGGTATCCTTCACGTGGCCAGGCAGGCCTGACTCCTCGTCCAGACGGCACCTGCTGCTGCCCCGCCACTCAGGGTGTCAACTTGTCCCGCTTTGCCCAGGCCTCTCCAGGCTTTAGCCCTGAAAGTCCTGTGTCCCAGGAAACCTCTCAGTCCTGGACAAACTGGGATGGTTGGTCACCCTACTGCTAGACCACCCTTCTGCTGGCAGTGGCAACAGTGGCTTTTAAGGTTTTTTTTTTTGTTTTTTTTTTTTTTTCTTTTTTTTGAGACAGAGTCTCGCTTGTTGCCTAGGCTATAGTGAGTGCCATGGCGTCAGCCTAGCTCACAGCAACCTCAAACTCCTGGGCTCAAGTAATCCTCCTGCCTCAGCCTCCCGAGTAGCTGGGACTACAGGCATGTGCCACCATGCCCGGCTAATTTTTATATATATATATTAGTTGGCCAATTAATTTCTTTCTATTTTTATAGTAGAGACGGGGTCTCGCTCTTGCTCAGGCTGGTTTCGAACTCCTGACCTCGAGCAATCCGCCCGCCTCGGCCTCCCAGAGTGCTAGGATTACAGGCGTGAGCCACCGCGCCCGGCCGGCTTTTAAGGTTTTGTTGTTGTTGTCATTGTGTTTATTTGGGGGGTGTTTGGCTTGTTCTGTTTTACTATG